CCGCCCGGGGCCCACGTACGAGCACGTGGAAATTTCGGCGCGAAAATTTCTAACCCGGGAATGGGGGGAGCTATGAAGCTGGTACTTTAAGGGAATGTTCCCCACTCATATATGAGCAAGATCAGGTGTTTAGAAGCGCCGGGGGCCCACGTACGAGTACGTGGAAATTTTGGCGTGAAAATTACTAATCCGGGAGCGGGAAGAACTAGAAAGCTGAAACTTTAAGGGAATGTTCCCCACTCATGTACGATCAAAATCAGGTGCTTAGAAGCACTCGGGGCCCACGTACAGGCACATGAAAATTTTGGCGCGAAAATCACTAACTTGGAAACGAAAAAGCTAGAAGACTGAAACTTTAGGCAATGTTCCCTACTCATGTATGACCAAAAGATTTTAAATTCAGCTCCTTAAGACTGTCCGGTAATCACGTACGGACACGCTAAAATTTTGGTGGGAAAACTGCCAATTCGGGAAAGAGACATGCTGTAGGCTATAATTTTAAGGGAATGTTCCCTACTTATGTGCGACTAAAAGATTTCAAATTTAACTCTTCTAGTGTGTCCTTTTTTGCGGACCAGCACCTTTCCATTTGCCGAGTCACTGAAGCCGACATCTACAACTGACATACCACACAGTTGCACAATTAACTTCCCAAACTTCGAGGGCCAGTATGTCACAGGTTGCTGTGATTCCTTGCGATCTTGCTATGGCACGAGAAGTGCAAAAACCCATAATCGCACCGGCCCGCCTGGTGCGTTCCAGCCTGGGTTGCTTTAGAATTGATGTATACGAATCATTCCAGAGAGGCTTGCAGTAGGTACTCACCTGAACATTCGAAATTTTGATACCTCGTTTATGGCAAATTTCACTCCATTTACCGTCTGTTGCTAGTTCGTACAATGCTGAGAACGTTTCGCCAGTAACGCTCAGATAGATATAACCGTTCGGCGCGATGCAGAGGTGCTCGCTGGCAACGGTCTCATCCTGAATCCATTTGGGTCCTTCAATCCGTGATAAAAATTCAAGATTCTCATCAAATTTCAACAGATTTCGTTTCCATTCAATTTTTCCATTGTTCTCGCTTTTTGCCATCGCCGAGATCTGTAATGTACCTCACTTAGTGAAGATATCAGGTCGCCAAAAAATACACGGAACTGTCCCCCTTTATGAAAACTTTTCTCGTCAATGCTAGAAGAAAGTACCTGGATTGTAAATCTCAGTGGGTTGAAGGATTTAATATCAGTGTAGCAGAAAAAGAAATGTGCGTATTGCTGGCGAAGTTAGATTTCATTAAACAATTCAACAGTGGAGGAATAACAATTTCCTAGGGACAAAAATCACTAAAAAGCACAAAATCTACTAAGATCTTGTTGTCCGGAGTGCAAATGACGGACTGTGGCCATTTCCAGTCCTCGCTAGTAACTTTCGTTATGAGTCCGGACTGCATTGAGAATAACACTAAGCCGTTTTCTTCGTCAGCAACAACAATCTTATCAGTATTTTGCAAAAACGCCGCGCTGTTTGGTCGTGACAGTTCATCCTCACCAATGGATACGCTGTCCACTCGCTGCCATCCTGCGCTGAAAGCACAGAAATAATGATTACGGTTCAGAAAATAACTGCTTCCTGAATCCCGAAATTCTCTTGTACTAGCTGGAATCGCTTCCTCTAATGCTTGGACAAATTAGTCAGCACTGCAGCCACAGTAGTCATAGAAGTTAAAAACTCCTTGCGCATTTTCTGTTTATGAGAAATTGAGGCATTTAGAAATAATCCGAATGACAGCATTTTGTCAACAGAAACCCTTCGCTTGCAAGCCCACTGATGGGTCCCTGCACAAGGGTTCCTTGGAAAACATACTGAAAAATGTCTGGCTGCATTGGTGCTACTCCACCGTCACAACAAATTAATGAACTGTAAGTTGCTGCTTCCCCTCTGGCTAACTCGAATTCAACGCCCCAGCTGGTACCACTTGCTAATACGGCAAATCTGCCAATACTAGTCAACTGAAGCGCTTGTACAACAACCTATAGGGGTGTATGCCAAAATATTTCTCAACAGAAAAGTTCTTGTCAAAACAAGCACAACTTTGCTGATAAAGGATATAGCCGAAGCGCATGGATACATGCACGGCGGAACTTTGCATTAACCATTCAAGGTAGCAGCATGTTGCTCACAACAGCACAATATAAATCAACTATGAATAACTGGTAATAAAGCATACCCGGTTAGGTGACTTTGCGATTTACCGCCCTGATCCGAGTCATCGACGTGTTGACTGCTTGAAAGCTCAGCCACTCGTTGCTCCAGCTTAAATTGCAAGTTTTGAAAAGATGCTTGCTTAGAGCGGATTTTCAACGAGTGAAGTGCTCCCTCGTTTTGAAGACTTGCCGTATTTTCTTGCTCAAATGCAGAGCTTGACAGCATTTTTTAGCACCGTTTCGTACACTCCCGCCTCAATTTAATGCCTTTTTTTGACACACGCTTTGTCTC